TGAATCTTTAGTAGTTGCGGATGCTTGTTAGAGTTCCAATCATAAGTGCATATGATCCAATAAGAGAAAGTATGTTAGCTTATGCCTCTCCCACATAAAACTTGCTATCGGTCTAGTAAAGTAGTCAATTGCCTAGGGACACTTTCACAACTCCTACCACCACTTTTCCACACTCACTTTATTTACTTTATTGCATCTTTATCTAAACATCCCCTAGTTTATGTTTACGTGCTCTTTATTATCTTGCAAACCTTTCCTATCACACCTACAAAGTACTTCTAGTTTCATACTTGTTCTAGGTAAAGCGAACGTCAAGCGTGCATAGAGTTGTATTGGTGTCGATAGAACTTGAGGGAATATTTATTCTACCTTTAGCTCCTCGTTGGGTTCGACACTCTTACTTATCAAAAACTGTTGCGATCCCGTATACTTGCGGGTTATCAAGAATGTTGAAGACTAACTCTTCGGTACGGTAATTGTTTGGTGATCCGAAGACTACCTCCAGAGTGATGGAGCCTGTACAATTGGCCTCCACACCTGGTATGATACTGATACGTCTCCAACGTATCTATAATTTATGAAGCATTCATGCTATTTTATTATCTGTTTTGAATGATTACGAGCTTTATTATACACTTTTATATTACTTTTGGGACTAAGCTATTAAGCAGAGGCCCAGCCCATATTGTTGTTTTATTGCCTGTTTCAGTATTTCGAAGAAAAGGAATATCAAACGGATTCCAAACGGAATGAAACCTTCGGGAGTGTGATTTTTGGAAAGGATATGATCCGGGAGACTTGGAGTTCAAGCCAGGGAAGGTTCAAGGAAGCCAGGAGATAGGAGGGCGCGCCCACCTCCCCTAGGCGTGCCCCCTGTCTCCTAGGGCCCTTGAGGCTCCCCCGACTGACTTCTTTCGCCTATATAAGTCCACGTACTCTAAAAACATCGAAGGAGAAGATAGATCAGGAGTTCCGCCGCTGCAAGCCTCTGTAGCCACCAAAAACCTCTCGGGAGCCCGTTCCGGCACCCTGCCGGAGGGGGATCCCATCATCGGTGACCATCTTCATCATCCCGGCGCTCTCCATGACGAGGAGGGAGTAGTTCACCCTTGGGGCTGAGGGTATGTACCAGTAGCTATGTGTTTGATCTCTCTCTCTCTCTCTCGTGTTCTCTCTATGGCACGATCTTGATGTATCGCGAGCTTTGCTATTATAGTTGGATCTTATGATGTTTCTCCCCCTCTATTCTCTTATAATGGATTAAGTTTTCCCTTTGAAGTTATCTTATCGGATTGAGTCTTTAAGGATTTGAGAACACTTGATGTATGTCTTGTCGTTCTTATCTATGGTGACAATGGGATATTCACGTGATCAACTTGACGTATGTTTTGGTGATCAACTTGCGGGTCCCGTGACCTTGGGAATCTATGCATAGGGGTTGGCACACGTTTTTGTCTTGACTCTCTGGTAGAAACTTTGGGGCACTCTTTGAAGTACTTTGTGTTGGTTGAATAGATGAATCTGAGATTGTGTGATGCATATCGTATAATCATGCCCACGGATATTTGAGGTGACAATGGAGTATCTAGGTGACATTAGGGTTTTGGTTGATTTGTGTCTTAAGGTGTTATTCTAGTATGAACTCTATGATAGATTGAACGGAAAGAATAGCTTCATGTTATTTTACTACGAACTCTTGAATAGATAGATCAAAAAGGATAACTTTGAGGTGGTTTCATACCCTATCATAATCTCTCTGTTTGTTCTCCGCTATTAGTGGCTTTGGAGTGACTCTTTGTTGCATGTTGAGGGATTGTTATATTATCTATCTATGTTATTATTGTTGAGAGAACTTGCATTAGTGAAAGTATGAACCTTATGCCTTGTTTCCTACCATTGCAATACCGTTTACGCTCACTTTTATCATTAGTTACCTTGCTGTTTTTATATTTTCAGATTACAAAAACCTATATCTATCATCCATATTGCACTTGTATCACCATCTCTTCGCCGAACTAGTGCACCTATACAATTTACCATTGTATTGGGTGTGTTGGGGACACAAGAGACTCTTTGTTATTTGGTTGCAGGGTTGTTTGAGAGAGACCATCTTCATCCTACGCCTCCCACGGATTGATAAACCTTAAGTCATCCACTTGAGGGAAATTTGCTACTGTCCTACAAACCTCTGCACTTGGAGGCCCAACAACGTCTACAAGAAGAAGGCTGTGTAGTAGACATCAGATACCTTTAAAGGTGGTTTTAGTTGGCTTTGATCATCGAATGATCAATACCCATCTTGGGCACTATGTCCTGGTACAGCAGGTTTAGACTGCTGCCTCCATCCATAAGGACTCTTGTGAGGTGGAACCCATCGATTATTGGGTCAAGGACGAGTGCGGCTGGATTGCCCTGATTGGTGTTGGCCGGACGATCCTTACGATCAAAGGTGATGGGGCGACTGGCTCCGGTAAGTCGTCATCCCTAAGAGTGCACGTTCGTTCCAGCTTGGGAATGTGGGTGGCGTTTATCATATTTGTCGTTTTGATTTGCGGGGGAAATTTCTTTTGCCCCCCTATATTCGGTGATCGGGGCTCCTCGTTGTCATCGTCGCTTTGAGACCCCTTCCCCTTGTTTTCGGCATATGACCTGCCGGCTTTTCTGAAGACCCAGCATTCTCTGTTGGTATGATTGGCTGGTGTTCCTGGGGTGTCATGAATTTGGCATGGACGGTCGAGTATGCGGTCCAAACTGGACGGGCCCGAATTGTTTTTGTTGAATGGCTTTTTCCGCTGACCGGACTTGGAGCCACTGAACCCGGCGTTGACTGTCGTGTCTTCGGTGCTATTACCATTTTTGCGACGCTTGTGTTTGTTGTGTCGTGGTTTATCATTGCTATCTCTGGCTTTTGATGTGCCAGGATTGCTTGTTGTGTTGTTGCTACGAGCCAACCAGCTATCCTCGCCCGCACAAAAGCGGGTCATGAGTATTGTGAGGGCTGCCATGGACTTTGGCTTTTATTGGCCAAGATGTCGGGCAAGCCACTCGTCACGGATGTTATGCTTAAAGGCCGCTAGGGCCTCGGCATCTGGACAGTCGACAATTTGGTTCTTTTTAGTTAGGAACCGAGTCCAAAATTTCGGGCTGATTCTCCGAGCTGTTGGGTTGTGTGATTTAGATCATCAGCATCTGGTGGTCGCACATAAGTGCCCTGGAAGTTGTCCAGAAATGCGTCTGCCAGGTTCTCCCAACTCCCGATGGAGTTTTCCAGCAAGCTATTCAGCCAATGCCGAGCTGGTCCCTTGAGTTTTAGTGGGAGGTACTTGATGGCGTGTAGATCATCTCCGCGGGCCATGTGAATGTGGAGGAAGAAATTTTCCATCCATACCGCGGGGTTTGTAGTACCATCATATGATTCAATGTTCACGGGTTTAAACCCTTATGGGAATTCATGATCCATTACTTCATCAGTGAAGCGTTGGGGGTGTGTGGCGCCTCTGTGCCGGGCTACGTTGTATTCGGTCCGGCCGGGTTTGTTGGTATGTCCGACGTGATGGTCATCGTCACGCCTTGAGGCGCGCCCCCGTGATCCGTAGATCGATCTTGACTGTCTTGCTTTGTTTTTCAATTTGTCTCGCATGTCATGCGTGGAGCCCCAGGCCTTCGTGTTTTTGCTTGTTTGGCGTCGGGTTGTGGGCTAGACTTCGGGCTGAAACGCTGCTTTGTCTCGGCCCCGAGGTGGCCGGTCAGCCGCGTCATGCGCTGGTAGTGTAGGCTTTGATGCCTCCTCCTCTAGTTGAGGTAGAAACTTGCGCTTTGGGTAACTTTTGATAGGGCGCTCGAGTTCGTATTCTTCGGCTGCCAGGACCTCGGTCCATCTATCAGTTAGCAGATCTTGGTCAGCTTGAAGCTGCTGCTGCTTCTTCTTCAGGCTGTTTGCAGTGGCTATAAGCCTGTGCTTGAAGCGCTCCTGCTCGACGGGGTCCTCAGTCATGATGAATTCGTCGTCGTCAAGGCTCACTTCGTCTTTGGAGAGAGGCATGGAATTATCATCCTCTGATTCTCCATCTGTTGCCTGTTCCTTAGGGCTATCTTGCCCATCTTCTTGCTCGGCCTGCTCACGGGCCCCAACTGTTAGTATCTTTGACCGGTCAAACCCACGGGCCTATCATGGATGACGTGAATATTGTCGCCAAAAAGATCTTAGGCAACAGGTTGGACTATCATAGGTGACATTATGGGTCGATAACGGAAACGGCCACCGATGACATTTTTAGGTTTCATCGCCTGAAATGCGATCTCGTGTGACGAAAAAAGTGATACCGTCAAATTCTTATTTTCTATGATGATGTTTCGGTGACGGTGTGGTTGACAGCCAGAAAACGTCGCCAACGTATTTTTGTGACGAAAATGGGTTATACAGGACACAAGTGGGACGTCGCAAAATAAAGCAAATTTTGTAGTGGATGAACATGCAAAGGAGTGGCTTGCGGAGAAGAAGAAGGGGATCAACAACCGTAGGGAGTACGGCGTTGCGAGGGCGGCTTTGGCAGCAGCTGAGAATGCAGCAATGATGCTTTTCATGTTCGGATTATTAAACTATGATTTGTTTTGCTTTCTCGTATTTGTTTCGAATTGTTGAATTGGAACGATTTGTATCATATAATCGACGTGCATGGATTGCATGGATTTAATGTTCAACATTTAAGATATGTGGATGTACCCAGCCCAAAATGAGGGGCCGTTCGGTGCTGTTCAGGGATGCGCCCACGGGAGTATATGGGGTGAATTTGCTGTAGATGCTCTAATTACATGATGGAAGAAATTTCATACACCTGAGATTTAGCAAAACCGCAATTCATTAACTTTCCCGTATTAAAACTACACCCCTGCGCCTCGTTCATGGCAGATCGGGACACTTGTAGGGAGTAAATCAGAAAACCACACCACCACGGCACCACTTTCCGGAAGAAGAAGCATCTCCTCAACCCGCCTGCGAGATGCGTCCCGCCGGTGCGGCCTCCGCCTCCACCGCCGGCGAGGACGGGAACGAGCGCGCGCTGAGCTACGGCGACGTCGTGCTCCTCCGCTCCGACCTTTCCATCCTCCGTGGTCCCCACTTCCTCAACGACCGCATCATCGCCTTCTACCTCGCCCACCTCTCCGCCGCCTTCGAGGGCGACGACGACGGCGACCTCCTCCTCCTGCCGCCCTCCATACCCTACCTCCTTTCGAATCTCCCGGACCCGGACTCCGTCGCCGCCGTCGCCGAGCCGCTCCGCCTTGCCTCCCGCAGCCTCGTCCTCCTCCCCGTCAACGACAACCCCGACGCCTCGGTCGCGGAAGGCGGCTCCCACTGGACCCTCCTCGTTCTCGACGCCACAAACGGCGCCTCCTGCCCGCGCTTCGTCCACCACGACAGCCTCGGCGTCCTCAACTTCGACGCCGCGCGCCAGCTCGCCGCCGTGCTCCGCCCGCTGCTCCCCGGTGCCGCCAACGGAGCCCCGCTCGTCGAGGGGCCTACCCCGATGCAGGCCAACGGGCACGACTGCGGCGTCTACGTCATTGCATTGGCCAGGGCTATCTGTAACTGGTGGAGGGACCGTCGAGGGCAGCAGCAGGAGGGTGGAGCAGATTGGTTCGACACTGTGAGGAAGGAGGTGGACGCCGAAAGCGTCAAGGCAATGAGGGCCGAGCAGCTGCACCTGATCGCTCGCCTCATCCAAGACAAGGAGGATGAGAAGAAGAACAAGGCCGGTGAGGGCCGCAAGGAAGATTGACCTCTTACTTGGTCAGTGTTCCAAGTTCTGTAGCAGCTTGCCTTAGTGTTGTCTGTCACGTTTTAAACGATTGATTTTGTAGTGTGCTTCAAAGTAGCAGAAATAGCGTAGAACAGAGCTTGTGTAAGTAAAGTTCTGGATGAGTTTCACAGCCAAATGTTAGTTCTCAAATGTGGTCAATACTTAATACTGCGATTTTAACCGTGCTTATGTTCGTACGGTGATGAAGTATAGTGGATCACACCTGTTGGAGTTCATGTCCTCTTTATGGTAGCAGAGTAATTCTGTATATCTTAGTACTGTATAAGATGTGTTCCTGTTCTTTGCTCTTGGATGTTAATCGATCCCATGCACAAGTTCTTTTACTACTGCTCTTTGTTAAAATGTTGCAATAAACATGTTAGCATGCATATTTGAGTTGCAAGCTTCAGCTATGTCTACTTTGCAATCCTTGGTTTACAAGACGACGCTGGAAACAGAACTGACGAAATGCAGTTTGGGGGCAAGACAGAAAGAACAAAGCTATGACAGTTCAATGTTTATTCTGTTCTTCAGTTGTAGTGTATGTTTCTTCCGTTGGTGTGGCAGTCTAATTTTCTCAGCAGGCCTACCATCATGTAACTATTCTTGCACATCTCTTGTGCCCTGCAAGAATTCTCTGAAGATGCATATACTTCCTTTATATATTCATCTTATAAGAAACATGTTTCTTTGTACTTTTCTGCTTCTGGAACTTTCAGTACTCTATAATTAGCTTGTTCATTTTGATCACTGAGGTGAAGTGATGATAAACAAACACTATGATGTCGTATTCTGTCATTTCAGTTCTGTTTGATTGGTATTTGAATGATGAGATTGTTTGCTGCAAAGTATTCTATCGTATTGAATGTTTATAACATTTTGGTACAATGAATACAATGGGCTACTATGGTGTGCAGTTTCCCTTACAGGCAAGAGTACATGTTCCAGATCTATGATACTCTGCAAAGTGAAACATGCAGGCAGTGAGTACTGATGAGGTTAGCCATCTGGCGTTTACCTAACCCCTGGAGCCCAGACCTAACAGTCATGCATGCACCCCAACTATCTTCCTTTTCTCCTCTTATTGTCAACTCTGCAATTCAACTTCCTTCTTGCCCTTCCATTGCATCTACCAGTCTACGGCTGTGACCGAGCGAGCACAGAGCACAAGGGCCTAGGTACGCGGACCTTATATTTCCATTGTTTTTGTTGCTCAATTTATTTTGAATGGTTCTTCCTTGCTCAAGTTGTTCATACGTGCATAACAGGAAAGTAAATTAGCACTTTGAAGTTGCGTTGTTACATTAGTATGTTCTGCTGTTGTTGTTGCTTGATCAACCTTCAAATTTCATCTAAAATTTGCTTTATTTCATAATTTAGTTGGTTCATTCATTCATGTTCTAATCTAGCAAGTTTCTTTACTTTGATCCTCCATTTCCTTTTACAAGGGTTCTCTTTTCTCTGTTGTCATCTCAAATTCTCAATGGTTTCATACATATACCTGTAATCTCCATTAAAAAGCACACACCTGTGTTTTATTGTGCTCTGCTCATAAGTTAATGCAATCCCAGTCTCTTTCTTTAACTTGGTTCATATCTTGATATTTGATTTGCAATTTTCAGCACAGAATTTTCTGTTACTAGCTGAAAGATATTGACGATAAACTTGCTTTTCATGTAACCTAGTGTGATTGATTAGGTTTTATAGTTCATGAATTTTTTCGCCTGCTCTTTTGTCAGTGGAAGATGCAAAGTCAAGAGAAGATAACACCTGTGAAGCCTGTAGCCTCCAGGCCTTTCTCCAGTTTCACTTCCTTCTCGAAGCTATTGAAAGACTTCACTGCGACTGGTTCTGCAACAATCTCCTCTCCAGGAGAGACTGTTATAGTTAGGCGGCCAAAGGTAACACGTTTCGCACCGCCACCAAGTGATCTATCTGCAGGAATTGCTGCAACCATGGTTAGTGCTTCACTGAAATTCAGTTTGTTCTTCTTCTGAATTTAGAAATAAAATTTGTGTTCGTCTGATAGCGTCAAATGTTTGCTACTCACTCCGATCCATAATAACTGTCGTAGTTTTAGTTCAAATTTGAACTAAAACCACGACACTTGTTATGGATCTGAGGGAGTACTTTCCAAGAATGACACTTCAAATCAAGTATACCTATGTTTCATCTATTGGATGATTTTGACCCTTGATCTTATAAAGTTACCATGTTATAACATTGTGCCAAACTTCAGTTACAGGATGCTGGTTTAGATACCACACATGAAAAAATGGTCATCGATCCAGAACAAGTAGTCTCCTGTGACCAGATGACGGCATTCCACGATATCAACAAGCCAATTCATGGTGTGAAAAACCGTCTGTCCTATGATGGCTACAATTGGAGGAAGTATGGGCAGAAGCAAGTGAAAGGGAGCGAGTTCCCGCGGAGCTACTACAAGTGCACTCACCCAACCTGCCCTGTCAAGAGGAAAGTGGAGACAACCGTAGATGGCCAAATTGCGGAAATTGTGTACAACGGTGAACACAACCATCCCCAGCCCCATCCACCAAAAAAGCCAGCGTCATTGGCAAGTACAGAAGTTGTGGTCCCTGACGCCCATGGCAGCAATGATGCTGGAGCAGAAAGCCAGCTAGGAGGGTGCAACCTCGCTCTTGTTTCAGATCCTGTTGCCGCGGCATTCAAAAGCAGCTGTGATTACGTCGACGAAATTGGAAGCACTAGTCCGGTCTATCACTGCAACACAAGGTATGCTAATGTTGTTTAATATCGGGATTCAAAACTTTGTTAGTTTCCAGAACATGTGGAGGTTGTGGATTAGAATGGCAAAGATCATACTACAGTTATGTTTTTTTTAACAGTTACGTTCTTATCGTATTCTGTTATGAACAAGCACCATGTCGTGGTTGCCAATTTGTTATTCCCATAATGATGATGAAATTATACTTATGAACTATTACTGCATTGTGCTACCCTTGCAACACTGAGTGGACTGCAACTTTATGGTAAACAAGAAATAAATCCTGGGTGTCCTTGGACCACTGAGCTGACTGCTGTAAACAATGCAGAGTGTCTACCTGTTGAATTCATGGGGTTTCCATCTTGGAGTAGAATACTAACTCTTAATGTAAGAGAACTATGGTGCAAAATTTTGTATTTTGAGTTAAAACCTAGTAGTACAATATGGTCAAGAAAATAGCAGTCTCTCAAGGTTCAGGTCTAGTCAGTAGCCTCAGCTGCAAAAATAGGACGAGTATCTGTCAGACTAGTTGCTTTCTTGGTTTTTGTTTTGTTTTGGAAATGAGTATGTCTAGTCAAAATTCTATATTGTGAAGAACGTATGTAATGCATGTCATTGTTTTTGCTCATGTAACTATGCAAGTTACCTACATCTGTTTGAAAATTCCTTTTCAGCCAAAAGGAGAAGCAAACAAGCATCACAAATGGCCTGACTTCTGGTGAGGCTGCTCCTGCATTCCAGTCTCCAACAGAATGCAGGTCGTCTGGGGATGCAGCATTCCGTTGGCGCAAGTATGGTCAGAAGGCTGTTAATGGTAATTCATTTCCAAGGTAATACAAATTGAGAACATAACAGCCACCTCCATGAATTCATGCCCCTTGTGTTTTTCTTTCAGGCGTAGTATAATTTTTGGGGTACATACCAGTTATAATATTTAGTGTTTGTGTTTAAGGTGTGAAACATAGAACTGCATTCAACAAACACAAATAGTATGAACTGAATTATAGAGCTACATCATCAACTCCTGTACCTGAAGACTTGTTTACATGTGGTTGCTGGATATGCAGGAGCTACTACAGATGCAGCACAGCAAGATGCAACGCACGCAAGTTTGTGGAGCGTTCATCGGACAATTCGCTGGTAACCACATATGAGGGAAAGCACAACCATGTGCAACTTCGATGAAGACGAAAGAAGAAAGTACAATGCTCTATAGTGTGTTTGTGATGATGATAAAATATTCAGATCAAAAAGAATACAATATGTATCTTTCCCTTCATAATAGCGCTACCGAATGGCCATCCCCAGACTTATGTATTCTGAAACTCAGTGATATCCTTGAGCAGCCGTGGACAAGTATTAGATATAATTTGAGGCAAAAAAAGCTCGTTGAATCAAATCAATTTGTCCCACACGCAAGTATCAGACACAAGATTACAATGAATAGGTCTAGCTCACTATAAAATCTCATCTCAGGTGCATAATTAGCTGGATTACAACACACACGCGCGCAGTCTAATATCAACCGAAAGTGGATACAGAAATCCCAGGGGAAACCAAGCAAGCCAACAGCGCATTGGAGCTCTTCCACCTTAAGATTTTACTCGGCACCATTGCCTGGATGCCTGCAAGGATATAAATTATCATCCCAATGGCAAAGAAAAGAAAAAAGGAAGGTACAAAAGCAAACAACTATGATAAGTGTCCTGACCTCCAAGATGTTGTCAGGTTTCGGGCTTTCCGGTCTAACTGGATGTTCTCTAGAGCAGTGGATGTACGCAATACTTCCTCCGAGAGATCATCAGCATCATATCCCCAGTTGTACTCATCTTTCCTTGTATTGGAAGCGGAAGAGCCCCCTCTTCGGTCTGAATGTCCAAAGCATTTGTTTTGAAATTTATTTAGGAAAGAAACAGCATGGGTATGTGACAAGATGAATGAATTAAATGTCAGGTACCTGATGTCTGCGATGGTGGCATTTGCCTGGCAAATTAAAAGTCAAGTGTTAACCACATTTACAGGGAAGGGAAGACAAACCGCTGCAACAAAATTATAAATGTGGAACATTGGTAGGTTAAGTGATGCCCACCTTCCCATAGGAGGCATGCCAGCGACTGAAGATGAAGATGGTGGCCTCCTCATGTTCCGGTGCTCAGTATTCAATGTTGGCTCAGGTTCAGAGTTGATCATTCTCCTACCAGCCATCCTCGTTTGAGACAAATTCTACACAATGGAATAATTTCAAGTAAACAAGTATGCACTGATGGCAGATAAAGGTTTATATTGACTATATTTAGAGAATGATAATATAGATGTTATCAAGAAAATAGGCAAAGTATTTTGTAAATTCTACACTGAGATCCACACCAAATACATTTCCGTTGAGCATCATAAGACTTGTTTACAAAATTAGAATGCCCTTACCAAGCCTCATAAAACTTTTTCTTATGGTTAGACATGCTTTTTTTTGACAGATTGGTTAATCCACATACAAATACTAAATCAAGAAATGTGCCGTTCATCAAATTAACACAGGCCCATTTTGATGAACTTCTGAGTAAGCAAGAGATTAACCTCATATTTAAGATATCCTTCAAGAACATCTAGAAGCATGGGACCACTCTCAGCACTCCTGCTCCCTTCAGCTCCATTTTTGTTAGAGAAATCCTTTAGCTCATTCTTCCAAAAGTCCTTGGGCTGATTTACAGTACAAGGCACATTAGTGAATGCTGTGTTTTTTTATAAACAGGACTAGATCCATTAAATACAAAAAATGGTTACCAGATTACATTCTGGCAAATAAACTTTCATCGTGTGACTTAGCTGGGCCCACTCCAAGTATTCACCTATAAGTGCTGTTAATAACCTACCTGCAAGCAACAGAAACTCTAGGATGTGAACCACTCACATCCAACATAGTTTGCAAAAAACATTTTGCCAAATATTGAAGACCTTCAACATTGAAGGCATATGTGATCGAGACTGGAAGCAACATAAACAAATGCAATAAGTTGCATTTTACAAATGCGATAAGTTGCATTTTACAGATGCTTCTTTCAGTTAACAACAGTGTAGAAGCATGGCAGCTAAAGACTCATTCGTCAGTTAACAGAGGAGAAACGAGGATAGATATTTCAGAAGTGCAGAAGAAAATGAAAAAGGTATGCAACAAGTCTAAGTAATTTGAGTTCCATTATTGTTAGCTAAAAAGGTTACTAAGCTAAAATCTGCCAATATCTACAGCAGAGAAAAAACATTATCATGCAATACAGTGTCGATCTAGTATACATCTGGAATATATATTCACCAGCAACAGTACAAAATCCTAGAGCGTTGCATATACCAGACCAGATCTGGCAACAGGTACGGTTTATCGATCCAATCACTAGGTACCATTTGTTGAAAGCACAAACCTGACGGTGAAGCATGCAGTTGCTTAGCACGGTCATTGCAGCTACCAAGCAAAGCAGGATTCCCGCCATCTTCGTTCTCCTCTATCACACGGTCCTCCTCTTCTATGGCCTCAAACACACTTGCTCTCAGTTCAGCCTGGTCATGCAAGGCAACTGATGAGAAAAATATGATGTTTTGTGCCAGAATGAGCAATTCCATGTAGATCTAACAGCTCACGGAAGTGTGTGGATTTCATCGAACATGGCCTAGGTTTAATAGACAAGGAAGCAATAGTTGTAGATTTTATCGAACATAGCCTAGGTTGGATAAGGAAACAGCAACACAGCTTCTGTTCTTCACCCAACAATTATATATGTAAACTTCTTGCATACATTTAACTGAACCAGACGCCCAACTGTTCTATGTCCTTACAGAATAACAAAAGGAGCACTGTAAAAATAATAACAAAAACAGAGAAACCGTTGATGCTTAATGCTTATATTGCAAACAAAGATGCCACCGCCTCGTCGCACTGAGATCATCTGGTGGTGCAGATAACTCACAAGAACATTTTCTGCAAGATAATGTAGTTGAAACTAGAGAAGCTATAGTTATGCGAGCTATATTGCTGTTTGGCTGTCTAGCAATCTGAACCAGAAACGGAGCAGTAGCACCACGCAAAAGCTGGACCCTCCCAAACTATCAAATGGTTACATGCAGAATTTGAAACGCGTAGTGAATCTAACAGGAACGGGGCGCGTAGGGTCAAAACTTTCTACACACAAAGGGGTCATTTGCGCGCATTTCAGTTCCAATGAGGGTAAAAGAGACAAGATGTAGAAGATTTGGTGAAGGAGGTCGCGGAAGCACGAAATGTGGAGATCCTGGAAGGATGCGCGCGAGAGAGGAAAGGTAGATCCGCCCTAGCCCCTAGCCCTAGTGGATCGGAAGTGAGAAGGGGGTGGGGGAGTGACAGACCCTAATCTTGGCGAGGACGCCCTTCTTCTCGAGGGTGCGGGTGACGAGCGTCTTGAGCTCCATCATCT